AAAATATAACGATTATATTATTTAATGTTTTATTATCGAAAGATGTTATAACGCTTCGTTTTATTCGAAATTAAATTTGATTTGTAATATGTGTTGAATTTCGTCTAACCAAACTGTTGTTGTTTAGTTAAGAGTTTATGTACGTGCCGCGGTTGGTACGTCACGTGTTTACAAGTGCTACCAATGTCTCACCGGCGGTCATAGGGGTAGGTCGCAATACGCATCGTATTTCTTCGCATTTCTTTAATGCTAAATGATACCAAATTGTGTTGTATCTTATGAATGTAATAATAAATGCTTCTTAACGCGCGTGATTAACGACTCGTAAATATATCGAAATGACGAATCTCTAACGAAGTATATATTTATTTAAGTACATATTTAACGTGATTTATTCTTTTAATATTCATGAATTTTTATAAACGATAACCCCTCCAATGGGTACGGCCTTGACGTGGCAGAGGGGCTCAGTATTCCGAGGGATTCCTTTGGGTTCCCCAACGGAATCCCAAAGACGAAGAAGCTAACAGTATCCGTTGCACCGTTATTAGTAACATTAATATTAGGTAATATTATTGTTATTAATAATGTACTAACACAACATAGCCACGAGTCGTTCAATGGTCGTTCTCTTACATATGTGGCAAGTTAATCGATCGGGTTTTTTAATCGACCGTCATTTTTCCGCCGCCGATTTTCAAGTGAATGAACCAGTTCGTCGCGCCGCACGTCTGTTTCGGGAGTGTCGCACAAGTGATCGGACTAAAAGATTTTTATTTAAAATTAGTCCGCGCGCGATTATAATAATTCGCGAGTGTTTTACGCGAGTGTTTTGTACTGCGAGGACATTCGACAATCCGATATCTTGAGAGGAGGAGGAGGCCTAGGAGAGGCATCGAGCACCGGCGGAGCAACCTTGCGGTAAATATACATTTTTTTTCTCAACATAATTAATCAGTTTCACATTTATTTGGATTAATAAATTTCGATAATTTAAAATTTATAGTTTTTTTCGGGAAAGAAAAACAGTTTAAAATATTATACGCCTTTATTTCTATAAAGATTTTTATTGAAAATTATTTTATTATTTTAATGAATATTTAATTGAAAAATAAATATGTAGATTCAATATATGTAAAAGCTATTTTGTAAAATATCATTTAGAACGCTGTTATAATTTGAATGTTCTGTTTCTGTGTTACAGAATCATCGTAGCTACGTGGCAGATTTACTCCGCTGTTGCGCATCGGATCGGTAAGTAACACAATTTTTTTAATGAGGTTACAAATCTCTGTCAAATCTGTGAACTTGTCTTAGATTATTTTTATATATTTATATTTATAAAAAAGTATTGCAGTTGAATCTTCATAGATTCGTTACCCTAAAATGGATAGGCATAAACAATTTGGAATATATATTTAATTCTGATTTAATCTTAAGATATTTATTTGACATTTATTGATTTATTATAGCGAAATGTACATGTATAGAGCTAGAGTTGATTAAATTTATTTAATTTTCGATTTTTTTAAATAAATATTTAATAATAATAGAAATTGCACAAAACCACGTAAAAATTTATTTTAGTAGTTTTTAAAAACATTAAATTTTTATTCAAATCTTTTTAATATATCTTTCTCAATAAAAATTATGAAAATTATGAAAACGATCTCCGCAATAACAGCCGCTCAGGAGGGAGTGCAATGAGAGAATCGGCATAACGGAAAACCGACAACAATAATTTCGATATATTCGAATATCGACTTAACGTGCCTTTTTTAGAAATGGATATTTTGATGGTCTCGAATATTTAATATAATAATATAATTAACAGCTGATATATGTTATACATATTATGATAATATTGTAAATGAATAATTTGACAATTGAAGCATTTTTGAAGAAGTAATTATGTAGTAAACAAAATATGCGATCAAGATTAAAGGTAAATAGGACGACATTTAATGCAATCAGATATCTCAACTTCTCGTGGTAAATGGTTAAAAGTTAAATGGTCAAAGCTATGTCACCTTATGCATCACCCGCAGGGGCCGGATTATATTCCAGTGAAAGTCACCTGTAACTAGTTGCATAAGAAACCAGTGATTTAGCCTATGGCAAAGCTTCTAATATATAATTATATACCTTCTATATATCAATCATGGTTCTAATATATATTTTGATAAATATTTAATATATTGATGAGATATTATCAAAAATTAAGGTTAATGTTAAAAATTTTTGTAACTATTAAATAATTTCAAAATAAAAGAATTAATTGGGAAACTTTCGCCAAAACAACATACATTTTAAATAACTAAAGTTATATTAAATATATAAAATATATTAATGAAATCTTTATTAATCTTAATTATTTTTTTCTTTGTCATTGATATACTAAAAAATTTTAATTTTAATTTTCTAAGTTGTTAATTATAAATAATCTAACGGTTAACTAAATAATTTAACGGTTTATTTATAAATTAGATTTCAATAATTAATAATTTTTTAAGAATTAAATAATAATTATAGGAAAAAGAGAACTATCATTAAAGATTATAAGTGAATTAATAAATTCTATAAGTGAATTTTAAATATTAAATTTTAAATATTAATTTTTAAATATTATTCTTGATCATATTCCTTTTCTTAAAGTTCATTTTATTATACATTTATTATTATTATATATATAAGTATATCATAATAATCATATATATATATATATATATATATATATA